CAATAGTGCCAGTGAGCGGGAGAGTGAGGCGGAGGTGAGTAGAGGCGGAGGCGCGAGTCGAAAGGCCGCGACCGTCAAGTGGTCCCGTCCTCATTTTCCTACAATCGCTGTGAACCCAGCCACGTACGGAGAATGCTCCGAAACCGAAAATTTGGGAGCGCTTAGCGCGTAGGACCGTAGGTGGAGGGCGGCTCGTTGTGCGAGTATATGGGCCACGATGTCTCAAATATGAGGGGTTTTGACTCCTACCGGCTCCTGACGCTATCCCTGGCAGCTCTAATGACCAGGATCAGTAGTGTTGTGATAGAGGTTGCCCATACTAGCGCAGGAGCTGCCACACTCGCCCGGACCGTCCCCTTCTGGGGCCGGTTCCGCAGCCCGCGAGAGCCGACAGCGGGGCCGTGCCGCGGGTGCCTACTGCCGAGTGCCACACACACTGCGCCGTCCCGCCATCACCTACAGGCTGTCTTGAGTGATGGCTGGGATGTCCAAACGCCACCATCTTGGCTCTTGCGACCTCAAACCCGCGAGCTGTATGGGTGGTCCTGACGTCGACAGACGCCCGATGACCACGGTGAAGCTGAGCCGTAACGAGTCGACAAGTCTCGTCTGAGCCCGTGGCGGTCGCCGGCTGAGTCGCCGTGCACGGGCCGGTACCTCAGGCGTCACCTCCGCAGCCTCAGGTCTCAAACTCCACCACCTCCGCCGGGACACCTTCGGTGGCACGCTCGGCGGCGACTTTGTGGCAGCCCCACAGCGAGCGCGGCATCGAGCCTACTCGGTCTGGTCGGTCGGCCGCACTCCCTGGGTGCCAGGGAGTGCGGCCGACACGCGAGCGGTGCTTCCTGGAGGCCCTCCCCGGCTGTGGGGCTGCCACAAACTCGACACACACATTTTGGGACATTTTCGACGCTTTTGGCCCATATACTCGCACAACAAGCCCTGACCAGCACCAGGCACCAGCTGGTCTCTGTACACCGCACTGACCACGAGTCTCTGGGGGGGTCCTAGGCCACAACCCCCCCCCCCCAGCATGTGGTGAAGGTGCTGGGGGGGGCGGGACCCCCCCGAGGGGGTGATGACTCGCCCCCCGCGAAAAGAGCCGGAGGTGGTGATGGCGGTAAAGACGGAGGGGGTGATGACTCGCCCCCCGCGAAAAGAGCCGGAGGGGGTGATGGCGGTAAAGACGGAGGGGGTGATGACTCGCCCCCCGCAAAAAGAGCCGGAGGGGGTGATGGCGGTAAAGACGGAGGGGGTGATGACTCGCCCCCCGCGAAAAGAGCCGGAAACACGAAAGACACCGGCGGATAGGTGCAGCCCACGTAGACGTTACTAGTGTGCTTCCTGGAAAGCAGCGAAAACTTCGTCAACAGCGCTGCCAGTCCCACCTCGCTGCAAATATCAGTTGCATTCTCGGTATCCTGAACTGCCGTGAAGTTGGCGATGAAGGTGCCGATGGCATTGGTGATTGCAGGCTCAACGGGCGGGAATGACGGAGGCATCGGCGGATTCGCTTTCGGTGAGGCGGGCGGGAACCCCGGGGGTGGCGCCATTGTGGGCACGCTGGTTGGCGTCGACGTCGGAGAGGACGACAGCAGCGAGGTTGGCGTCACGCTCGGCGTCGAGGAGGGGGCGGCGCTCGGCGCCATTGTGGGCACGCTAGTGGGGGCGGAAGAGGGGGAGGAGCTGGGCATCGACGAAGGGGCTAAGCTCGGCGATAAGGAGGGGGCAGCGCTGGGAGATGATGATGGGGTAGAACTTGGCGATGAGGAGGGCAGACTCGTGGGGGCGGCACTCGGGGACGAGGAAGGCGAAATCAAGGGAGCCATCGAGGGCGCGGCAGGAGGTGGCGAAGGCGGAGGGCTGGGCGGCGGCGGCGAGGGCGGCCGCAGCGGCGGCGGCGGGGAGGGAAGGTGCGAGGGCGGCGGTGGCGATGGCGACGGTGAGGGC